GGGGGAGGCCTCTCAAACAGCTGCCATTTACTGTCTCCCAGTCCTGGAGGCTAGAAGTCAGAGATTTAGGTGTCAGCAGGTTGGGGTCTTCTGAGGCCTCTCTCCTTCACTTATAGATGGTTGTCTTCTCTCTGTGTCCTCACATGGTCTTTCCTGTGTGTGCACACGTACGTCTGTGTCCAAACTTCCTCTTATAAGGATTAGGGCCAACCCTACTGACATCGTATTAACTTAATCACCTCTCGTAAGACCCTATCTCCAAAATAGTCACATGCTCTTAAGTAACAAGAGCAAGTTACTGGGGGTTAGGACTTCAACACAGAATTTTGGAGGGGGTGCAATGCAACCCTCCACAGCAGTCATTTCTGTTATGCGCGGTTCTGAAATGGCGCGGCGTGCCGAAGTTGCCCAAGTCCCACACCTCCTGGTGTGACTTGGCTCAGTTGTGGAACATTAGGGCTGGGCGGTGTAGGGGTCCCCTTACTCTCTGAGGAGGCTGAAGAGTAGCTGGAAAACATGGAGCCAACACTTACTCTTCATGCCTTAACTAAGCTGGGCCTGGGGAGAGCAAGCACACTGCAGGTGTGGGGTCTCCCATCTGCTGGGAGGAGACTGGGCATGTGTGCTGTCAGGGCTACCTGCCGATGGCCAGAGACAGGAGCCAGGAGGACACTGGGAGCTTGGGGGCTGGTGCTGTGCTCTGTGGTTATGGATTTTGTGTTTTTCTCCTTGCACAAAATAGTAAAATATTTTCTCTTGTTACTTAAGATCAGCTTTCTCTCCTGAGGGCTGCCTCTGTGTGAAAGACGCACTCCCCTTTGTGTATTTGAAATACTTCTCTCATCTCCTCCTCTATTCCTTTGAGATGCTGCTTTCAGTGTTTATTATTATTATTATTATTTTGTAAATGCCAGGAAGTAGATTTATTTATTAGATCATATGGTAATACAGTGGGGCCTTGACTTACGAGTTTAATTCGTTTGGAGACCTAAGGAGCTCGTTAAGGAGCTCTTTAACTCAAATTACTCTATCAACTCAATGCAAAATATCAGCCGAGAGACAGCTGGTATCTCAAAAAACTTGTTAGTCGGGACACTCGTAAGTCAAGGCCCCCCTGTACTGTTTTTAATTTTTTTGGGAAACCACCATGTTAGTTTTCAAAGTGGCTATACCATTTTTGCATTCTCACCAATAGTGCACAAGAGTTCCAATTTCTCCACATTCTCACCAACATTTGTTGTTTTCTGTGTTTTTTTTTTCCTAAAAGGTGTGAGGTAGTATCTCATTGTGCTTTTGATCTGCATTTCTCTAATGACTGGTGATGTTGAACATCTTTTCATGTGCTTATTGACTGTTTACTTTCTCTGGAGAAATATAACTTATTCAAGTTATTTGCTTATTTTTGAATCAGATTGTTTTTTGTTGCTGAGTTTTAGGAGTTGTCTACACCCTTTATCAATTTGTGATTTAAATATTTTCTCCTATTCTGTGTGTTGCCTCTTTACTGTTGATAGTGTCTTTTGATGTCCAAATTAAAAAATTTTAATGAAGCCCAGTATGTTTTGGTGTCAAAACCAAGAGATCAACCCTGACCGGTTTGGCTCAGTGGATAGAGCGTCGGCCTGTGGACTAGGGGGTCCCAGGTTCGATTCCAGTCAAGGGCATGTACCTTGGTTGCGGGCACATCCCCAGTTGGGGGTGTGCAGAAGGCGGCTGATCAATGTTTCTCTCTCATCGATGTTTCTAGCTCTCTGTCCCTCTCCCTTCCTCTCTGTGGAAAATCAATAAAATATATTAAAAACAAACAAACAAAAAAAACCCCCAAGAGATCATTGCCATTTCAATGCCCTGTATTTTTCCTAAGAGTTTGATAGTTTTAGCTCTTATCTTTAAGACTTTGATTCACTTTGAGTTAATTTTTATAAGTGGTATTAGATAAGGGTCCAAAATCATTCTTTTGCATGTAGATATACAGTTTTCCCAGCATCATTTCTTGAAAAGACTGTCCTTTCCTCATTGAATGGTCTTGGCACCTGTCAAAAATTATTTCACCATCTATGCCAGGGGTGGGGAACGTCCGGCATTAGGGGTGAGTTAATTAAATGTTTGACCAAATATAGCAGGCTATTTTTTAAGTTGATAATTTTGTATGGCCCTCGGATGGTGTTATAAATATCCAATAGCCCTTGGCAGAAAAAAGGTTTCCCACCTCTGATATGCAAAGGTTTATTTCTGGTCTCTTTATTCCGTTTCAGTGGTCTATATGTCTGTCTTTATGTCAGTATCACACTGTTTTGATTATTATACCTTTGTAGTAAGTTTTGAAATCAGGAAGTGTGAGTTATCTGTCTTTACTTCTTCATTTCTAAGCTTGTTTCATCTATTTGGGGCTCCTGGGGATTCCATATTAAAATTAGGATGGGCTTTTTTCTATTACTGCAAAACATGTCATTGGGATTTTGATAGGGATTGCATTGAGTCTGTAGATCACTTTGTGTAATATGGGAATCTTAACAAAGGCCTTCCTTTTTTACTCATTTCCTTGTGTGTGTTGTTTGTGTTTTGAGTAAGAGTAGAAAAAAAAAGTAGATGGAATTTCGGGAAGAGAAGAGATGAGCAGTAAAGAGTGGAGGAATGAAGGAAGCGGGGAAAGGTGTAGAGCCGTCAGGGAACAGTGAGACTCGGGTCTCCTGAGCAGCTTAGAACAGAACGTTCGTGAGCAGTTCCTTCACAGTTAAAATGCAGGTTCAACATCTGTTACTATTTGCTTGACACAACAATCTGTGAACTACAGATAAATACTTCTTATAGCCCAGTGTACAGATATGGAAGCTGAGGCTCAGGAAAATGATTTGCCCCCCTGGTCACCCATTAATAGCCAAACCAGGGAGAGCCAGGCCCATCCAGCTCCTGATCCCGTGCCCTCTCCCTGTGCAGAGTCACTTTGTACCTCCCGCCCTGTGGCAGGGGTCTTCCTGGTGGGTTCAGACTCAGCAGGAATATTGGGGCAGTGTGGGGGGAAGTGAGCGCTTGTTCATGATCTCAGAGTCCTAGAGACCCAGGCTGAGTTGCCGTGGTGATCAGTAATCTTCCAGGCACCACACAAAGCAGATAAGGAGGGTGGTGTTGATGCTGGTGGAGGAAGATGAGGCATCAAACAGTTGCTGATGAAGATAAGACCTTTCCTTTGTAGTTCCCCTCTTTGGCCTTTGTGGACTCAGTGTCCCTGGCCTGTCCAGCCTGGGTGGTCATGTCCTTGTGGCCTTTCCAGCTCTTGCCCTGAGACTTGGGCTGTTCCCTGAGCTGTCATTCCCTCTGGCTGACTCCTCCGCTTACCCTGACCTGAGATTAATGAAAAGTGGCCGTTTGGAGGATGGCGTGGCATGAAGAGGGCAGTGGGAGAGAGACATTCTTGCAGTTCTTCGCATGCAGTCTGATCATCGGAATCATGATCAGGTTCCCCAGACCCCATTGGTTCACTCTATTTCCTGCCTCCTTCTGAGCCAGGATGGAAATATTTATCTAGTTTGTTCCAGAGATTGTACTGGTCTCCCCTGGGTGGACCAGGATTAGCTGATGGCCGGAGGAGTGACATGGTCGGAGGGGTTGAAGCCAGGAGCAGAGGACAGGCCTGCAGCTGAGGTGCAGCAGAGATGACTGGAACCCAGCTCTCTCCCCTTTCTTCCTTTCCGCTGTGGGGAAAGATAACCTTGGCCACAGTGCCGACGCTGGCCCATAAGCCACTTCCTGGCAGCTGCTTCTCAGAGTTACTGACCCATCGGTCATGATTCCTAGGTGCTCCTCACCTGAACGCTGTCATTGAGCAAGGGGATGGCTTGCTCTCCTCCTCTGCTGTCCAGCGCCGCAAGGAATTGCTGACTTTCAGTTTTCCTGATCTTGTTGGAAAGGAGGTAGTATAGTTGGTGGATAAGAGTTGTGTTTGAATCTGGACCTGCCACTTACCAGCTTTGTGGTTCTGGGCAAGTTACTTGGCCTGTATTTTGCCATCTAGAAAAGGAGGTGTCAGTAGTCTGCTGCTTAGGGTTCTTAGGAGGATTAAATGAAATAATCCTCAGAAATAGTGACAAGTACTCAATACATATTAGCTGCTGTGAGTCGTCAGAGTGTGGTAACACATTCAAGAAAAACTCGAGCCAAAGCATGGAAGGTCTTTACTGCGTGTTGGTGGGTCTCCTCAGCACTTCCTGAATCATGTCCGTCAGTCTCTTTGATACCCAGGAAAGTGCAGGGAGTAGGTGGAGTGCAGGTACAGTTTGATCAGAAGTTGGAGGGTTGTGCGTCCATCTTCCCTTCACCATTGGGCATCCTGGGCATCTCAGCCCACCTCTAAGCCCTCAACCACATGCCTGTGTGTTCAGTTCCTTTACTTGGCCAGGTGGCTCCCCTTCAGCCTCACTGCCTGCTCCTCCTGTGCCATCTGTGTTGATTCCTCTTTTCATCCTCAGCCCTGAGCGCTCAGAGCTTATTCCTTGGACGCCTCCACCGCCCTTCCTGTCCATCCTCCCTCCTTGGGTTATGATACCATCAAGACTCATTGCTTTAAATACTGAGCATATGCTGACAGTTCCCAAATGATAGATGTAGCCCCAGCCTCACCCCTGAACTTCAGACCATATCTCCACCTGCTTATCTGTCAGCTGTACTTGGGTGTCTGTCCGTACCTCAAATTAATTTGGTGAAACATGAACTCATGACCCCTTACCCCACCCCAACTCTTCCTCCTGGAAGGTTCCCCATCTCAGTGACAAGCAGCTCACCCTTCCATTTGCAGGCCGAGACCTTGTGGCATCCTGACATCTCTCTTTCCTGTTCCACACGGAATCTGTCAGCAGACCCTCCCTGCTTTACCTCCACAGCATCCCCCAGCCCCAACCCCCCCACCAGCTCCACTCTCACCACCCGCCTGGCCGCCAGCACAGCTCCCTTGGACGATTGCCTTTGCTGTCTGGCTGGTTTCCCTGCTCCCACCCTTCTCTCCCCGTGGACAGTATGTAATGCAGCAACAGCCAGTGATCCTGTTAAAGTGTAAGTCAGACCATGTCTCTCCTCTACACAAAGACTTCCAGAGGTTTTTCTCTCCTCACTAAACTCGGTGCCCGCTCTATGGCCCGCAAGGCCCTGCTGTCCCCAGTCCTTCATGCTGCCCCACCCAGATTGTACTTGCACACCTCACAGTTACCTGGGACATGGGCACCCCATTCGTCACCGCCATTCACGTTAAAAGATGGACTACTGGTCCTCAGAATGGCCACAGAAAGTGGGAAATAAGCATCATTTCTGTGGTATTTTAGCAAGTTCATTATTCTTCCAAAATTGTGCGCAGCTGCAGTGAGGGAGAACGAATATTAACTTACAGACTTGATCCTTAGGGGGTGAATCTTCGCCTGACCCAAAGGTAACAGCAGGCCCCTGCTGTGTCGCCAGCCTCCCTGTGCCGACAGGGAGAAGGGGATTGGCCCACCCGGACCTGGGTGTAGAGGGTGCATGAAAGCAGCCCTTCCTTGGTTGATGCCCCAGGCTCTGTGGCTGCTCCATTCCAGGGCCAGTCATTCATACCTCCCTGAAAGGTGGGGGCTTGTCAGACTCCAAGTTTGGGTCTCAGCACCCACAGGCTTGGGCCATGTTTTTAAAGGAAAGGGGGCTGCGGCCCCAGGGTGGAGTGTGGCTGCCCTGAGCCCTGGTTCTTCACGAGGGCTTCTTAGCAGCCAAAGGAACCCACCCTCCCACCACCTCCCGAGCGAGGTCCTCTCGAGTGAGGGTGCCCCGCTGTGGGGCCAGTCTCTGCACCCCAGTATGGGCAAGTACCATGAAGCCATGGCTCCTCGCCCTCTCTCTCCCCCACATTTAGTTCCTATGCTCAGCTCAGCTCACGGGGCCTGCTGAGTGTCCTCTTGGTGGGGAAAAGAGGGTGGGGAGGGGACAGGCTCACTCTGTGGGGAAAGGGGGGAATACGGGCTGGGAGGCCCTGGGCTGGGCCACTCCTGTTCTGAGACTTGGCACTTGCACAGGGTGAGGGTGACAGGTTCTGCCTGTGTCTCCTCCAGGCTGATCTGGCTTCTCAGGTGGTTACCCAAGTCTACTATCCTCCAGGGCCAGCTCCAGACCCCTTCCTCCATGAAGTCTCCCCTGACTGCTCTTCCGCCTTCAGAGCTGGGCAGCAGCCTTGTGGAGAGGGATCAGGAGTGCAGGCTTTGGGCTAGACTGCCTGGGTTTGTATCCTGTTTGCCCCTCAGTAGCTCTACCATGTCCTTAAGCAAGTGACTTAATTTTTCTAACTTAGTTTCCTCCTTTCTGAAGTGGGACTAATGACAGCCTCGGGGCTGGGGCGTGGGGACTAACCAAGACAAGCTTGCACATCCAGGCACTAATGGTTAGTGAGGCTCAGACAGCCCAGCAGTTGTCATGGTGAACTGTGTGACCTCGTCACGCTAGTACGGCTCTCACCTTAGATCATCAAGGGCTTGAGGACAGGTTGGAAGGTCTGGTTTGACCATAATAGCAGCAGCTAACAGAGTGCTGGCTCTGCAGGAGCTGTTTCAAGCCCTGCCTTGCCCATTAATGCAGTTGATCCTCAATGAGGTAAGTACTCCTATTATCCCATTTTATAGATAAGCACACGGAGGGAGGGTGGGAGAGCCTGAGCGACTTACCTGAGGGCACAGAGCTGCTTAGGAGCAGAGTTGGGAGTTGAACCTAGGCCGGCTGGCGCCCCAGCGGTATTCTACTCATTGCCGCCTTGATTTACAGACGAGGGCCCCAGGCTCAGAGTGGGGAAGGGACATGTACAGTCTCCTGGCAGGTGAGCACCCTCGTCAGCCCCAGCTTCTCTTCTTCCCACCAGACCCAGCCTAGTGCTGTGCGGGTGGACTGTGAGCCCTCCGTCGGTTGTGAGCCGGCTGCAGTTCCTGAGGTGTGAGCTAGGAGAGGGTCCAGGGTGAGGCAGGTGGCCTGGTGGTGACTCCCACCTGAGGCCAGGCAGCACCTCCCCACTCTCACAGAGCCCCGAGGGCATGGTAGCTTGCCTTCTCCCTCTCTCTTCTCAGGGGCTTTGGGGCGGGGTGGTGCACATCCTCCTGGGACCTCAGCTGTCTCAGGGCAGCTGGCAGGCCAGCCTCTGTGCACCTCCTGGGCTGGCTCCGGGCTGGAACACGTCTCAGAGCTGCAGCTTTCACGAGAGAAAGCGTGAGTCACCGGGGCCTCTCGGGCTCCAGGTGAATGGAGCGCTGTGTGAGGGACGAGTTTCTGTCTCTCTTGGGCCCCACAGGCTGGTGACCGCTCATGTGATTTTACTGGAAGTTCTTTCTAAGAGGTCTCCGTGACCCATGGGCTGAGTCACAGAGTAAACACAATCTGCAGGGCCCGCAGTGCTCTTGGGAAGGGCGCAGACAGTGCGTGGCCCAGGCTGGCCCAGAGTGTGCTGCTCTCTCCACGCCTCCCGCCTTGACTTGGTTTGCGTTCCACCTGCAGGCCCTGGCCAGCCACGGACCCTGCATTCTTTCCGGCTGCGGACCTGGCCTGGGGCTTGGCAGAAATGCGGAATCTCAGACCCCACCCTGATCTGCCCAGGTAGAGCCTGCACTTGGGCCAGGCTCCGAGGTAACTCCTACAGTCAAGAACTCCTCTCTGGTTCCCAGGCCACGAACCCCCGGGGCGCATGCTCTACTCTCCTTTGCTGGAAACGTTTCCAGATCATCAGCTTTCTCTGGGCCTGGCAGGACCTCTGCGCGGGCGTGCATGAGGCTGCGGGGCACGTCCTGAGGGCAGTGCCTGCTGTCCGTGGGCATGGGGGCAGTGCAGGGGGCGCGCGTTGGTCTGGGCCTCTCCTGGAAGTGGAGGATGTGTAGGCGTCAGAGCAGGTGGGGTGCAGGTGTCTTGGACATGGCCGAGAGTGAGGGGCTGTGAGGGGCAGGGGCTGCCTGTGAGACAGGACTCCTGGTGGCCTCTAGATCTGATTGTGAAACCCCAGAGGTAGATGACGCTTGACACCGCCTCTCAGAAGCACCGGCTTGGAAAAAAGACCATGTGACTCCTGTGCCAATTCCCGAAAGTCCTGACCACACAGGCCTTTTAAGACCACAGGAGCCGCAGAGACAAAGCATGACCAAGACAATGTCGTCTTCAGGCCCTTTCCACCCCCCGAATGACGTCTAAGGCCCTGGGAACATTGTAAAAGCTGGGCCCTGTCCAATTTTAATCGCTCCTTGCCGGCCCCCCACCCATAGCTCCCAGGAACCTTGCCAGCTGACTCGGGGGTGGTGATGCCCAGAGATGCAGGCAGAGATGTCACACCGTCCCTGGGTCAGGCCCCAGAGCTCCGGCAGGACTTCGGGGGCAGGGGAGAGGAGCAGAATGTGTTGGTTGGCCAGTTGACTCCCCGAGCTGGGGTGGGAGATGGGCGGGGAGAAGGAAGGCTGTCTGCCAAGTTTAATTAACAGTGGAAACTTGCCACAGGGAAGGAGAGAGACCATCTGAAGAGGAGGGGCTGTTTACTGGAAGATGGGGCACTGCTGATGCCAGTATGAGGAAGGAGCGAGGCGCTCCTACAGGGAGCGTCCAGCAGAGCACTGGCGCCCTGTCCGCCAAGTTGCAGGCAGGATTGGCTTGAACTCCGAGAACCTGGAGGTGTGAGTGGGAGAGTTTATTTATGCCTGCCTTTCTGAGTTGGCGTCTTTTGAAAACAGTCCACCAGCCTACCAGCTGGCTAGCCTTCCTTGCCCCCATACATGAAAGAAATAATTGAGAAAATGGCGACTGCGTTTAAAAATAGGCATTGTGTTGCCCTCTTGTTCTTTGAGGATGTCATGGTCTGCCTGAACTGCATCTGACTTTATTTCATGGATCCCTACCCAGCACTCGACATTTATGATCTGGGAAGAGAGATCATTTGAGAAGTTTGTGATGCTCATTGTTTAAAACAAAAATGCAGAGATGTTGAATGGACAGTGAAGTGAATTCAGTGTGGGTTGAACTTGAATACAGGAGGTATTTCATTGAACATTCCTATTCGTTTTTTTAGTAGGATCAGGGCATTTCAGGGCTGAATAGGGTGTTCTGGTTTTAGCCTCCTTCTGATGATGTGCAAGTCCCCGCTGATTCCCAGCCAGGTGTGCTGGGGCAGCACGGACTGTTGGGCCACCCTGACCTGGAGCTTTCTCCACATTTCCCTGCTGTTCCCAGCGCTGCTGCAGCAGGCCATGCGGAACAAATTGAATCCCTTCTGACAGTCCTACTTGAAGACAGAACACCTGCCCACTCCCCAACTCATTCTCTTCAGTCCATGCAAAACACCTGTAGGTTCTTCAGAGATTCTCACAACATGTGATCATGAGGTCACTGGTCTTTCCTGGCCGCTGTTCTAGTTTCTGCCATCACCAAAGTCCCCCTTTTCTTCTCTTCTTTCGTTCTCCCTTCATCTCTTTTTCGTTGGGCATACCTGCTTAGCTCAGATGCACCAGTTGTCCATCTCTCTGCCCTCCAAGTGTGGTCTTTTTCTTCTCTCTCACAATTTTCCCCTTCCCCTGGGGCCTCTCCTGCTCCCCGCCTCCTCCTCTCCCTCTCCTCAGTCTACTCCCATCTCTCTTTTCTTTCCCTTCTGAGGATGTGTTGCATGTATGGGGTGGCTAGTCAAGAATTGAGATGGGAGCGAACCCCTTAACTTTGACCCCACATTTCTGGTCCTGGAGCCCTAGATATTCTTGGCTGCTTTCTGACACCAAGTCCTAAGGCTTGTTCAAATCCCATCCTGGGCTCACCCACCATGCCCAGTACACACCCCTCTTCATTATAGTTCTTTTGGTTCCAAGAACAAAACACCGCATTCCTCCCGTTATCTTGTTTTGAGTGACCACCATCTCTGCGTGTTGTGTTTTTTTAAACTCCCAGTTTAGTCTCCGAGTCTGTTCACCCTCTTAACTTTGTGTCGCCCATAGTCTTGCTAAGCAAGGCACACCTTCTGTTGCCATGAATCAGTGGAGAGTGGAATCGCTGAGGTGGGGCAGGCGAAGGACCCCGTAAGCCGCCTGGCTGAACGCTTCATCTTACAGACCAGGACAGAGTTTCAGGAAACTGACGTGATTTGCTCAGCATCACCCAGCTCCTCGCACTCGGACACGAGCTGAGTTCAGAAGCTGGGTTTCCTGACCCGGAGGCTTTTCCTGATGCTAGGCGGGAATATCCTGTCTGAAAATATCAGAATTCAAACCAAACCATAGTGGTTGTGTGTCTGTAGCCAGGAGTTGTGTGTCTATAACATTGTGTTGACAAACAACAACAACAACGAAAGGTGCTACTCCCTGGCTTCGAGGACAGTGTAATTGCTCTGAACTTGATGAGTAACTTTTAATAAGGGGGTAGACACTGACTAAATTATTAAGGACTGAGCTTGAATACAGTTAGAACCTAAGAACAGAGTAGTCCGGCAAAAACCACAGGTAGTTCATCGACGGTCAATTTATGCTGTTACCCTCTGCATGGAAGCCAGAATTATAGTGATACTATCTGTGGGGGATCCTCACGGCATTTAACCGGGGCATGCTGCTCCCTCGCTGAGCCTTTCCCCAGATGTCCCAGTAGGAAGCCAGCCGGCACTCCAAGTTCCACGCCGCCCGCACATACATCAGCCTCCAGAGCTGAGGGTGCGGAAGGTGAGGCAGAGGCGAGGCAGAGGCACCACAGACTCGTCCCTGCCGACTGCCCCTGCCCTGCCTGGCCCTTGGGATTCGGTTTCTGGTCCCTGGTGCAGGGCCGGTTCTCAGCCTGGCGATGGCTGAAGGTCAGTTGGTCCGGCAGTGGTCTGGGGTATAGACAGGAGGCCCCTTGGGGTTAGTAACAAACGCTCTCCCTTTCTGCCTCCAGGCTCCACCTACAGCGTCTTGTCCATCATGCCCTCCGACTCTGAGAGCAGCAGCTCCCTCAGCAGTGTGGGTGAGTACCGCCTCCCGGCCCCTCCTTCCTGCAGAGCCGGCGGGCCAGGGTCTGGGTGCGAGCCAGGGCAGCCCCGGGGCAGGGGATGGGAAGCTGGCCCTCACCTTGGATATTACTCATGGGCGCATCTTCTGTTGATTCCATTTACATTTTCTCGTCAGCAGTATGTTGTCTTCGTGGAGAGGGCAGGAATCTGGCTCTGGCCGTCGAAGGGTGGTGGGTGCCGGGGGAGGCACCTGTTTTGCTGTTTCTTCACTTGTCAGGGCACAGGACTGCTCAGTGAGCTCCCCCGTCCCCCACCAAGGCCACCTGTCCATGAGACTGGCCCCCTGGGGACTGTCCTTTAAGCAGGAACAGCCTGCCAGGGTTGTTGCCATAGGGACAGGAGTGGCAGTCCATCCTGACATGGATGTTTCCAGAAGCCCATAGCGTGAGTCCGGTTGTGCTTTCACTTGACTGAGGACGTCCTGGCAGGAAGATTGTCGTAGTCTCCCCGCTGTCCCGCACCGCTGTGCCCGCCCCTGTGCCACACGCCCTCTGTTTAATACCCCTGGGGCAGTTTCTGATATCCCGAGCTGGTCGGGGTGGATGGGGACCCCTTCAGTGGTGAGGTGACTCCTGGAGTTTTTGAGTTGAAAGGGCTCACAACAGACCGTCTGGTCTGTGTATTTGGTTTTCCTTCCTACAGACGGATGGGGAGATTTCCACTCAGGGAGGGGAGCCTCACGCCAGAGATTCCAGAGCTCGGGGGCAGGCCTTCCTGGCTGTGTGCTCACTGGGCCACAGCTGAGACCTCCCCTAGGTGCTAGAAGTGGGTTTGGGATGTGGTGGTGACCACAGGCATGGTCCCCATGCTTGTGCATCTTGGGGTCTATGGGGGGGAGACAGTTACAGAAGTGTACAAAAAGTGAGGTCAGAGTTATGGGAAGGGAAGACAGGTACGGTGTAGGGCAGTGATGGCGAACCTCTGACACGCGAACTCATTTTTTTGGTTGATTTTTCTTTGTTAAGTGGCATTTAAATATATGAACTAAATATCAGAAATATAAGTCTTTGTTTTACTATGGTTGCAAATATAAAAAAATTTCTATATGTGACACGGCACCAGAGTTAAG